CTGTTGTTAATTAGTTTATAGTATATGAGTTAAGTAGGAATATAGAGAGTGAACAGTGGTGCAAAACGTCATATAATCTTTTTATAGGAATGATATCACTTATATTAACTTTACTTATAAATAATGCAATATTCGAGCACTGTTCAAATAAATGAGTAGATCAAACCATGAGAATGAATTGAATTGAGCCGTGGGTTATAAGCGCAATTAATTTCAAATAATATATTACCATAACTTTAACTCCATAAGTAAGACAAGTATATCATTTGTGCCACGAACCCCCATCTCAGGAATTAATATGTCCAACCCAAATAGGTTTATTCTTTGCCTACCAATAAATCCTAAACTCTAGCATGTCATCATTTTAAGGGCAAATTAAGAATTTCGTCGTACACTTTTCGCATAAACAGCACTCATCAGATAGCATGCATTGTAAGCATATTCCGGCTAAGCATATTACTAGCTACTGTATTAACATCAAACAATAGTCTGTAAAAGAAAGTAGGATTATAACAACTGGCCATTCTTGGGTCAATATTTAGTCAATGTTAATTACGCAACGGTCTTATACTGACGAGTTCTGCAGTACAATATAAAATAAAATGAATAAAACATGCTTTAGAGTTAAAAATATATGATAGCATAATGATTTGACATTCGGAATAAATGAAATGAACTAAGGTTTTAATGATACTTATGAACCAGAAATATCTACCTAAATGAATTTAACTAATTTAAGGCTCCTTTATTTACGTGCGATGTGTGAGAAACGAAATATAGTAGCATTTCTAAAATCCAAAATTGCAATAATAAATATAACCTTGGATAAGTATCGCTAGGCTGCTGAGCCGATTTATTATATTTTTAAATAAAACCAATTGCAGCTATCTCGATTATATTTTTTTATAGCCACGCTATTAATATGGATTTAACTCACCATGTACATCAATCACGGTCAAGGCTCCAAGAGTTATACGTTCTCCACTTGTTAACGGCCCACGAACAAGACGAACAATCTGATCAATTTGTTTGTTGCACTTTTGAAGATATTCTTGCATTTGTTTAGCCATAAATGCTTCTTCCACTTCCAGAGTCCAATAAACGCAAGAGACACAAATTACAACCTGAGCGCATATAATGAGAATAAAGAGCTAGTAAATATGCAATAGTAGTAATATGAGTAAGATCGGAAACTTAATAAAAACGGCTTTGGTCCCATATATTTATAATCCGCCTATATTTATTGAGCCAGCGACCCTGGTTAACCAGAACCCTATAAGTTTCTAATAAAAGAATAACTATAGCTAGCATCTGTAGAGAAAAATTTGGCATTTTGAATAAATATCGTTTAATGACTTACCTGCATCTTCATCTCTTGCCAAACAATCTCATGAAGCATATTTT